TAACTAAATATATCAAACACTATAATTTTAATATGACAAATAATTTATATTAATTTAAATTGAAGTCACTAGTTTCGTAACTAGTGGCTACCAAGATCAACTGCAAGTCAAGCTCGCCTTTTCCTCTGACCCCAAATTATCACACCCATTTCCAATGGTTTGCCCATTTTTCTGGTTGATTTCAACCTTCTATCAAATATAAATTTATTAACATCTAAAAATTACCAGCTACCCTATCAAATTATTTCATTATCTTTCATCCAATACCAAATACTCACTATTCATATAAACAATAAACATAAGCATATAGAAGGAATATAACATAATTGGAATGTTTGCTACCTGAAGTCGTTCTCATGTTGCTCTTTCTCCTCTCTCTTTTCTTTTTATTACTCAAATTAAGATATAAAAAGATTAAATCCCACTAACTTATGTCAATACATGCGCCAAGTTATAAAGAGTATTAATTTAACTATGAACTTGGCTCATTAAATATCAACTATATTAGTTATTTTTAAAAAAAAAATTGTCAAGTAAATACTTATAGTTACCGGATAGTTCAAAATCTATATTTAATATTTCATGGAAAGAGTCATAATAGTACTAGTACACATTTTAAATTTTAATTATATGTCTAATTGTGCGACTAAAGTGTAATCATTGAGCAATTAATTTCACATGATGTATGTTATTATGTGATAATAGACGATTCATATTAGTAGATATTTACTACAATTAAAAGATAGGATTAAAGCATCAAGTGAAGGTTTAAAATAAAAAAGAATTTACCAGTATTGCTCATGATGGTCCCTGAAAAAATTAAAATATACTTCAAAAAATCGTGCGAGACTCACATGTGATTGAACGTAACCTATCTAAATCCTGATTCGCTCCTATTGTAAGAAGGCAAAAGTCTAGGCATGAGAGAAGGACTAGAGCAATGTAAAAATCGTTAAATTTTGAATTTGAATTACATGTAAAATTGTGTGACTAAAGTGTCAACAGTGAGGAATTAATGTCAGATGATGTATGTTACTAGTGACGCGTTTCAATGTCACATGGGCTTAGGCCTAGAGCAGAAAATATCACTAGTGAGTTGGAATATTACAAATGGTATTAAAGCAATTCATGTGTAAAAATTTTTTATGTGGGCCAAATTGCAACTGAATGTGGACACATCCTGGTAAGTGTAAACCTCCGTGGTGAGTCTAAGGAAATAGCATTTGGTGGGGCAAACCTTAGCGCGAAAGCTGAATCCAAAGAAGGGGTGTGTCTGATGTCGATACTTAATACAAGAAGTCCCACATAGGCAAAAAAAATTAGCGATGTCAAGTATATAATTAAGCATGTCTTACCACCTACTGACGCATTTTAAAGATGTGATGGCCTTATACAAAATCACACATTGTCAATCGTAGGCAAAGTCATTACAATAACAAGTCCTTAAATACATCATTTGACATCTATTCCTCTTTGATGACTCTTTAGTCACACAATATAACATGTAATAAAAACTTAAAATCTATTGTTTCATATCACTATTGTCCTTCTCTCGTGCCTACACTTTTGTCTTCTCAGAGTACACTCAAATCATGAGCTGGATTAGTATTGTTTGATCATATGTGATTTTTGCATGATTTGTTTAGGTGTATTTTCGTTTTCCAACGATTTTTAGTATCTTCTCTCAATAAAGACACATGATCATCATGATCAATCCCTGTAGTTTATTTTTAATTTTTAACCTTCCCGTGATACTTTGTTCTTATTTTGTCATTTTGATACACATCTAAACAATAGTGGTCGTATATTATCATGTTGTATGATACACCACGTGACATAAATTATTAACTGATGATAATTTATTCACCAATCGTACCTGTAAAAAAACCTTAATATCTAATAGATTTTACATTGTTTTTATGTTTATGTGGTGCCTAGACTTTCATCTTAGTGAAATAGGCTCAAATAATGAGGTTAATTATATTATTAATGTTGGATTATATGTAATTTTTGCATGATATTTTTTGTGTATTATAATTTTCCTCGAATTTGTAATGCTTTCATATGATGAAGATACAATATCATTATGAGAAAGCCTAGCATGTTTTTTTTAAAAAAAAATCAATCTTTACTTGATGCCTTATTCCTATTTTATCTATTTAGTACATAAATAAATAACAAAGATTGTCTATAATTATGTTGTAAAATATATCATGTGACATTAATTACTAATTGATGAAACTTAGTCACATAAATAATTATACATGTAATTAAAATTTAAAATATAATGGAATTTACACTACTCCTGCCCTTTTCTCGTGCCTAGACTTTTCCTTCTCAAAATAGTCTCAAATCAAGAGATGGATTGGTAATGTTGACTTATATGTGATTGTCACACGATATTTTTTGGTGTATTATTATTAGTCTACCGCTTTTACAAAATCATCATGATCAATCCCATTAGAATATTTTTATTTTTCAACCTTCAGTTGATGTTTTATGCCTATTTTGTCAATTTTAGTACACTTCTATATATTACTAACCATCTATTATCATCTTATAACATGAAAGTAATTTGAATGGGGGACACTCCCAGAACTTAATTTGCACAATAGACACTTAATTTCTTTTTTATTTAATTTTTGAGGTTATTGTTAGAAAAGTGAAAAGTGGGGTCGGGTTGTGGGGTCCTGGACCTTTTCATCACTTGAAGAAATTGGGCATTAAAAAACAAGCATATAAAATATCATTTTCATCCCACCACTTCAACATCAAAAAAAATTCATCCCTCCAAATAATTATATTACAATCCCAAGAAATATAATACTTTTTTAATAAAAGAGGGTAAACATTTTTCGACGAAACCTCGGAGAACATTTTGACTTTGATCAACATGTTTTACTTAAATCATTAACCTTCATAGAACTAATCATTCTCCAACACTATTCTTCCATCTTCCATTATTGAAAACATAAAGATAAAAGAGATCATATAAATGTTCCTGAAAATCAAAGTGGAGTTTGTCAATTTTTCATCAATCTTCTTCCCAAGTTCAACTGAAGCTTTTTCAATTTTCTTCCCCAGTTCAGTTGGATCTTTTTCGATCTTCTTCACCTGAAGCAACTTTAATCGTATTTTCAATAACTTTTAGCCAATTTGATTTTTTTATTGCTATAATTTAGCGAAGTTTAGATGTTTGCTTAAACATTCTAAAAATTTCGCTCGTTTAGTTCATGTATTTTATTTGGAATCATTACTGACCTTTTGCTTTGAATAATGCATAGAAATTTTTTATCTTTTATGTTTATGAAATTTTTAATTTTGTATGTTTCTCTGTACTATCGATTTGAAAGTTTTTACTATATTTTGGTCGACTTTAATGGTGTTTATGTCAATGGCATTGTCGAGTTTTGTGGAACTAGTAAGTTTTTCATATTTTTTAGCATTATTCTGTTTGTTTTGATAGAGTAGTGGTTGATATTTTTATTTGAAAATTATTTTAATACAGTATTTTTACAACTAGAGGTGGTATTGTTAAATGATATGTTCCTAAGTCTTCTAAAAACCATAAATAAATCGAGGCGACATAGTTCAAGCGGAATTCTAGTTCCGTTTTGTTTTGGATTCATAATTTGCTTTGGATTCAATTATTTTTTTAGGTTTTTTACTACGTCTATAAATAGTCCATAGAAATAGTTATTGGAGGCATTCAATGAGAGGGGGAGAATCTAGAGGAGGTACTTTGAAAGAGAAAGTCGTTAATACTTTTTAGGGTTATTTTCTTCTTGTTTTCTTAGAGATTAGTAGCTAAAGCCCTTGTTTCTGGGGCTATAGCTACTGATTGAATGTTCATTATAATGGTGTTTTGAATTAATCTTTGGTATCCATTATAAATTACTTTTATATTCTTGTTTTACTATTTCTTGACTGGCCATGTAGAAATAAATCTAGTGTCTAAATCTTGAATTTACCATAAGCGAGATTAGATAGACCAGGGAATATAGAGAGTTCGATCCACCCATTAAATTGAGAAGATTAGTTTTCAAGATTGACGCCCAAAAAACGAACACCTTACTTGGTTATGAAATAGGATGAAATATAAATGTGCCGGTCAGTCTATTTATCCCCGCTCAACGATATAGTTAAATATCTAAATGGGATAGGCGAAAAGAGGTGGACAACCCGGATCATACTATTAACCCTATAAACTAGTAATTTGACAACTGAAGTTAGTTCTAAGACAATAATATAATGCATGAAATCTAATATATGTTATAGCTCGGGGATTTTCCAATTTATTATTTAATTCCTACATTCTTTTATTTTTGGAACTCGTAAATAAATAATTAGACTAGTATAATTTGGTAAAAATACTTAACTGACAAGTCCTTTGGGATCGATAATCTTGTTCTTTTAAGAGCCACTCTATTATTTGCTCAACTACGTACACTTGCATAAATACTGGGGAGCAACCAAGGGTACCAGATTGAATAAGAATCACAAGTTGAAGTACTCTTTAGTTTGGTCGTCCATTCAATATATTTTGCCCACGGTCGATCTAAGATTATGGATTCAAACCACATTAAGATAGCCAATGATTTAAATTCTTTCAAGATCTATCGGAAAAGAATGTTTTGATTTAACAGTGAAGTATTTGAAGAACAAAATTAACTTGAAGAAGCAAGGTGAAGTGTACAATGAAAGAGGGAATGTATCTATGCTTTGTATGGCTTCCCCTAGGCAATTCTGGTACTTATTATCAATTATGTACTTGATTTATAATAAACTACTATATATTTATATAGTATTTCATAGTCTTTTTTTATTTGTTTTTTATTTTATTAATTTCAGATTTGGATATATAATATTTTTCCTCATCTTTGTAAGTATGCAAAGAAGTTGTTGGACTCTTCTCTGCCCATTACCCGTTTACATTGCTGGCACACGACAAAGAGCGATAATATTACTGAAGTTGATCAATTTAAGCACAAAGGGAGAAGTACAAAAGTATAAATTTATTTATTATCTAGCAATATTTGTAAATAGTGAAGGCCTTACACTATTCATATCTTTTTTAGATTGTGCATCCATACCTCATACCTACTGTCCCTGAGACAAAAAAATAATATGGCGACATTAAAGTCATATACAGATGAAGTGAAAGACACAATCATTGTTATCTTAAAGGCCAAATTGAAAGGTGTCATGGTCCTTACTTGTGCAGCAGAGGAGGATGAAATATTGGGTGAGAACAATTTCAACCAACATTCTGAGAATTCTATTTCGGGTGGACAGAAAAATAAAGAAGATAACTTGTGTGAGTGTGTTGCATCCCTTGAACTTGCAGTGATGGAAAGTGTTGTTTTTATACGATGAGAAATTGAGGAGAGATCAAAAGAACAAGAAAATAGAAGGTATGCAAATTTATATACTATTTGTGTAAAATAATTTATTTGTAAGAATGCTCATCCACTGATCTTGCAGCTGATTGATAAAGATGGTGTTGTAGTTGATATTGATGATATCCTTAAATTAGAAAAATTTAATGAAGATCTTGTTGTAATAGATGAATACTTTTAAGAAGAAGTTAATGAATTTATAAAAGAGATGAGAAAGGGAAGAAAAAACACAGAAGAGAAGATGGAAGACAACGAAGAGAAGATGGAAGAGAAGAAAAAAGAGGAGGAAGAGATGGGGGAAAAACAAGAGTAGAAGCGAAGAAAGAAGAAGAAAACAAAGAAGAGAAGATTGAGAGAAGAATAAAAAAAGAAGAACATAAGAAGCAGAAAGAATATCAAGAAAAATAAAACGAGAACCACAAAGAATAAGATAAAAATATGAGGAAAAGCAGGTAGAAGATCAAGCAAAAGAATAGGAGAAGCACGAAGAAGAAAAAGAGGAGAAGTCTGTAGATGAATTTCAATGGACGTGATGGGTATTGTTATGGAGATCAATGGTGATGAGTAAGATATTAGTTTTTTACGACATTTTGTGTTTGAAGTGGGTTTTAAGACATTGGTTTTTGAAATGTTTGGTTTTAGTGGTTGATAATTAAGAGCATTGGTTTTGTAAATGGTTGGTCTTAAACAGTTTGGTTTTTAGATAAGTAGTTTTGGGTGGTTGAATATTAACACAATTGGTTGTTGAAGTAGTTGGTTTTTGAAGTGCCATTCAAGAAAGTTGGATTATATAAATATTATTTTTGTTTTGATGGATATTGTTGCATGTTAATTGTATGTATACTGCATTGTCTTACCATACAAGAAATGCTTCATTTTATTAATAAATTTTAAGATTACATGAGTAAGAGATATAAGATTGTACTACTACATCCCTGTTACACATTTCCAAAAATTAACTACTCATTAATGAATCATTCAATCCACTTAAAAAAGAGAATGAACTAATTGTATATTCAAATCAGTGTGTGAAGTCCTCAACATAGTTGAATTACCACAAAGATAAACGTAAGACTTTTTTCCATTGGATGCTTGTAACATATCGTAACTTGAAATAACTATGATAAGCTAAGAAACCAATAATAATAATTTATGAAAATAAATAGGGAAATCTAGAAAATTTCTTAAATGTAAAAAGTGAGTTTTTGGTCATTTTCAAATGGCACCGAGTCTGTGCATTTTCAATGTCGTATGAGGGAGATATGTCTTTCAAAAGATGGGTTGTTGGATTGAGAAAAGTCCAATTTTGATTTAATTAAGGGTAAAATAGTCTTTTCACCCTATTATTTCCTATTTCTTTTTAATGGTTTATAAGGGGTAAGAACCAATCCCAATTAAGTTTTAGAAAAGTTGAAAATGCTTAGGGCTTGGGGAGAAGAGAGAAGAGAAGTGGAAGATCAAGAATTCTTCAAGGTTTATCTAGTGAAATTCATCTGGGGTGATCCCTATCTAAGTATGGAGATCTTTCTGTGTTGGGTTCGTTCGCCCACACACCAGTATGTATAATTCAACAAGTTTTCTATTGACTGAATGATAAATCTTGAAGCTCTTCATGAATAATCGTTTAAATCTTGTTGGTAGAATTATAGTGTACCTTTAGTGATTTGTGATTCGGGTTTCTAGGTTTTTTTATGAGTCTAAACAATTCAGAATTCAGGATATTTGTGATCCTAAATGTTTAGGGGAAGATCCATGGAAGTTTTGGGAGGTTTAGAATTGAAAATCATAGAAGAAAAGTTGGAAAATTCGTCTGATAGGCCCTGGGCCACAGAGCCTTCTAGAGCCCCTCCGGGCTGCCTCTATCTTTCAAGGCCTGGAGCGCTGCGCCAGCCAAAGCCCCTTTAGACAGCCTTTGTCCGTCAAACTCTCACACCCCACGCCTCTAAGAGCGCCAGGGTCACCTGGAGTTTTCATTTCTCCCCAATATTTTCGTATTAGTTCCAAAGTGATATACCTACAACTCCTAATTGATTCTAACACTCTAAAGTACACCCAAAAATATCATTAAATCATCCATAAACATGAGTTCATGATCCTTGAATCCATAATTAATTCAAGGAAAGTCAAGATCAAAGTCAAAGAATTTAAGAGTCAAGTGTAAGAGTTAAGAAGCAAGTCAAAGTGAGTTCTTAAAGTTTCCAAGAGTATTTAACAAACTGTTTTAACTTTGTTTTATTACTCAAGTTACACGTTAAGAAAGAAAAAAGAGTTGAGTGCATTCTCAAACGTTATAAGAGGACTAAGTAATCCCTAAGAGTTCCAAGTGTTTTCACATTAAACAAGTAAAGAGCCTTCGGGCTTGTTTTCAGACAAAAGTAATAGTTTCATGAAATTAAGCAAGCAGAGAAACTATGATTTCCAAGAGATATATATGAAGCTAAGTTTTGAGAAATAATCTCAAACCACAGAATCAGTATGTTTTAAAAAACATAAAAGCCAGTATATATTTTTGGGAGTAGTATTGAGCACCAACGTGGGGATGCGAATTCTTATTAACTCAAGTCATCATGGATAGAAGAGAGTCATACTTTTTAGACAAACCCTTTTTATAGTATACTAGTGCATCCATTAGGTAGTTCAGGTCCTATACTCTAGCAAAATTAGGATGGTCGGGCATCATGGGCCAAGTTACATTGTATCATCACTATAGCTCTTAAGTGAAGGATGTCGGTTAGAGAAGCTCCCGCAAAAGTATTATATCTTCATATTCATCAGTGTTTTGTATTTTTTTATACATCTCAAATACTATTTGTATACTTGTATACATTCAGAGTTCAAAACATGTTTCGGTCAACTTTTCTTTATATTGAATTTACTTTTAAACTGCATATATTTAATAAGAGTTAATAAATCATGAGTTGAGTAGAGACAAGATAAGTGTTCTTTCTTACTACTTTTCAAGCTTAAGTGTTGTTTAACATTCCATCTCGCAAACTCGTACATTCAATGTACTGATGTTAGTTGGACTGCATCATATTATGATACAGACACAGGCAATGAGAATCGACATCCAGCACACCGTTGATCTAATTGAGCATCCCAGAGTTAGTTGGTGAGCCTTCATTCATTCCGAAAAACATCTTTTATTGATGTCTAGTTTGTTCAATATAATATTGTGGGGGTTATCCCAATATTCATCTCAGTTAGTTTAGAGGCTTCATAGATATTAGTTCAGTAGTATTTACATTTTCATAGTTATATTAAATACTTGTTTTGCCATTTTGGCCAAGCTAAATGTTTAAACTTTTAAAATATTCCAGACAATATTACTAATCAGTTCAGTTGAGATATTTTATCCATATAAGTGTGATTGTTGTCTTCCAATGAGTTAAGTAAGTCATGCCAAGTGTTCGCTCAAAGCCAGTAATAGTCACCGAGTGTCGATCCCACCTAGGTGTACACTCGGGGCATGACAAACTTTGTATCAAAACCTAGAGTTCAAGAGTCCTAGGGAGTCTATGAATCTGTCTATAGAGTCTTAGTAATCATGTGAAACACGCCACAAATATGAATAGGAGGATACAAAATTTAGGAATATATCACTTCTTTCATATCTATTTTCATGCTTTATACTTTATCATTAAAAGTGTCTCGCTAATTTGTTTTTGCGCATGTTTCAAATAACATTGCCTCTACGAATAGCAGCAAGAGGTCATCCAGCAAAGAGAAATGTAGAAGTTCAGGAACAGGAGTTACCCAATACTCTAGAAGTACAACCTCAAGGGGAAGTTACTTATGATGAGTTCTGTGAGTCTATCTGGATGTTGAGCTAAGCTGTGACCTACCAAGTCGGGCAACAAAGAGGAGCTCCAGAAGAAGGGGCAGACACTTTGAGGATTCGGTAATTCTTGAGAATGAATCCCCCAAGCTTCGATGGTTCAAGCACTACTGAATATCCGGAAAACTTTATGGAAGAGTTGAAGAAGGTGTTCGATGTGATTCTTGTTATTGGTATTGATAGAGTTGAATTGGTTGTATACCAACTCAAGAGCGTGGCTAGGACTTGGTACAACAAGTGGAAGAAGCGCAGAAATGAGGATGCACCACATCCAAGTAGGGTTTGCTCTGAAGAAGCTTTGTTGGGACATTTCTTTCCTCGAGAACTGAAGGAAGCAAAGGTACGGGAGTTCCTTACCTTGAAACAGGACTTTTTGAGTGTTCATGCGTATGGGTTAAAGTTTACCCAAGTGTCTCGCTATGCTATGGAGATGGTTAAATATATGAGAAGCAGGATGAGTTTTTTTGTCGCTGGTTTGGGTCGTGCTTCAAGTATAGAAGGTAGGGTTGTGATGTTGATTGCCGACATGGACATATGAAGGTTAATGTTCTATGTGTAGAAAGTTGAAGAGGAAAACAAGATGGATGGAGAGGAGTATATAAACAAGAATGCCAAGACCATGAATGAGTGTGCAACAGAAAGTGGTTCGAATTGGCCACAATTCCAGAAGCCGAAGGGGCATGCACCATCAGCTACTAGCGCGCTTGCGGCTAGAGACAAAGTTGAGCATCATGGTCTGAACTCCCAAGCTAGGCCTGCATATTCACATAGTAATAAGCCTCCTGCCTGCGCCAAGTGTGGTAGAAATCACTCCGGCATATGTTGTGAAAGCTCTTCGGGTTGTTTCAAGTGAGGTCAGACCGGGTATTTCATGAAATAATGTCCTAAGAGTAAGAGAGGCAGTGTTAATGAGGGAAATAGAGCTGAATCTTTGTCAATTGCTCCACCATATATGACTGTACCAAGAGGAATCACTTCTGGTACTGGCGGAGGGGCAAACCGTCTCTATGCAATACTAAGCGCCAAGAGCAATAGAACTCTCCAAATGTTGTCACGGGTGTGATTTAAGTCTTAACTTTTGATGATTATGCTTTGTTAGACCCAGGAGCAATTTTATCCTTTGTAACTCCTTATGTTTAAAATCAATTTGAGATTCTTCCTGAAAAAGATTGTGAACTCTTCTGTGTTTCTACACCCATTGGGGAGTCTAATGTAGCGGAAAGAGTCTATCATGATTGTCCAATTTCCATCTATAACAAGAACACCATGCCTGATCTAGTAGAGTTAGACATGGTAGATTTTGATGTCATTATTGGTATGGATTGTCTTCATGCATGATATGCATCAACAGATTGCATAACTCAAGTTGTCGAGTTTCATATTGCAAATGAGCCCGTCATAGAGTAGAGT